TAAACCACCACACCTGGACCATAGAAACCACACCTGGACCATAGAAAGTACACCTAAATAATAGAAACCACTACAACTGGATAATAAAAACCACACCTGGACTGTAGAAGCTACACCTGGAGCACATCTAGTTCGTCCGTGTCTCCTCCATGTCCTCTCTGACCGCAGCCAGTAGGGGCAGATGGCTGCCCACCCTGAGCCTGGTTTTAGTTCTGGTTTTGCTGGAGGTTTGTTCCTGTTTAAAGGAAGTTGTTTCTTCCCACTGTCACCAGTGTGTCACTCAGGATGGGAGACTGAGATGAAGAAAAGTTTCAACACAACTAACGGCTCCCCTAAACAGATACTGTTTATTAATTGAAGTTTTATAATGTTTGTAAAAAGTTTCTGAATATTTTTTTGATTGTTAAAGTTTTCGTACGGTGAATTAAGACGTGAAATGGATCTATTTAAATGAACCCAACTGGACCCAGTTCTGTATTTGACGGTCAGGTTCGGACAACAAAGACCTGTCCAGTTAAAGCTGCTTGTTTATCGTCTCTTTGTTAACTTTCACTTTTCTTCTTGTGATCAGAACTCAACGCTCCGACCAGAACTTTTTCTGGACTGGAGCCACACGCTGATTTATGTGGTGCGCCGAATCTGGCCTTCAGTCTTTTCAATCCTTGAGTGTTTTTTTTGTTTTTTGTCTCGTTTCTCTGAGCCGTGAAAGACCTGCCTCAGAAAGAACAGCCTGATCCATATGAAACAAATTAGAGCTTTCAGACGCCGATGCGTTTAAAAGATCTGAAGAGCAATTGAAGCCACCTGTATGAGAGGTATTCAGGTCCCGCCATCCTACTTGAACCATGCAGACACAACACGGAAAAAACTGAGCCGTGACCTCCAGAACTGGGTCGGCTCTCCACTGACCAAACCTGAGCTACTGGGAGGAGGTGAGAAGGAAATATCCTGAGAACGCAGCCGAACGTTGCACGTTTGGATGCAGAGAAGATATGCCGAATGTTGACAACATGAGCGCTACTCTGCAGCAGCGCCGTCAACAACAATAAAACTTTTAACTGAAGCCAGGAGGAGGAGTCCAACAGGAGCCAAAAACCCACAAGAGATTCCTCCAGATCTGTAAAACAAAAATGAGCTCAGGCTCGTTTTTTTTTTTTTTTTGCCGGACTCGCTGTTAAAAGTCCAGATTAAAGACTGTTCTCATGTTTTTACTAAATTTGAAAGAAGAAATAAAGACCTGAAGAACAATTAGCTGTGAGTCACACACGTGGTTGTGTGAACGCTTATGAAGCCTTCACACTGTGATCCGTTTCTCTTCTGTACGTTTTTCTTATATCAAAACGTTCAGCTCATTCAGAAGGGCGCCATGACTTTTGGTGTTAGTGCAACTTTAGCTTTTTGAAATATTTAGCCTTTTCTGACACTTTTTTCCTCACAGAAAATGAACTGAGCTCATTTTCCATCCTTTGAATCTTTAGAAGTGTTTACAACTTTTTACTGTTCCTTTCACATTTTGTTCTGCTTCAGCTTCTTTGTGCAAATTTAAACTTTTTTCAGCTACTTTCAGCTGTTTTTTTCAGCTGTTTTGTGCTCCTTTCAAATTATTTCTACGAACTACAATTTTTTTTGCTTCTTCTAACTTATTTCTGCTAATTTTAACTTATTTCTACATTTCAGCCTTTTCTGATACTTCAGTTACTATTTTGCTATTTTTATGCTAATTTGAGCTTTTTCGGCTAATTCCACTTTTGTTGCACTCGTTTCGACTTTTTTCAGCCTAATTCAGCAAAGATGTGCTCTGTCAACTTCTTTCTGGCAATTTCAGCTTCTTTCTGCATTTCTTTGCTATTTTTCAGCTGTTTTATGCCAATTTCAGCTTTTTTCAAATAAGTTCCACTTTTTTGTGCTCATTTCGTCTTTTTTTAGCCTAATTGGGTAAACATGTACTTTCTGCTTTCTTCTGCTAATTTAAGCTTGTTCTACCTTTTCAGTTACCTTTTTAGCATATTTTAGCTAATTTTAGCAGTTTTCAG